CCCGTGAGCCATTGTCCATTGTGGGTGTGGGACTGCCCTGAATGGCCCTGAAGGCCCTGCAATGAACAGAACTGCTCTGGTTTCTCTGAATTTTGTCCAGCCCCTGGTTTAGGTAAGCCTGGATTCAGGCATCAACAGGACCCCGGGAGCATCTCTACATGTGGAGCTCATGAAGCCTCAGAGCTGCAACTCAGGTGTTCTTTGTGACTACTCCTGCTCCACACTGCAGYGAGGACTCATCCCAACACTGATGCCTGTGCTTCCACACCACCAACCATGCATCCATTCCACGCCCAGGACACCCCCTGCTCCTCAGCATGACAGCTGGGTGGTTTTTCACAGAATCACAAACTGTGTTCGTGTTCACCACTGCAGGAACTCTGCGCTGAGGCAGCCCCAGCAAACACAGATTTCCCCCACATGCTGATGAGCTTGTCAGAGCCATCCCAGGCCTTGTTTCTTAGTTCTACTTGTTTCTTAGCTACTCAAACACCCTGACCACAGGCTTGGGCTCCTCCAAGTCCCCGTTTCAGCTCACAGGGACAGYGCTCAGCCCTGTGACCTGCACAGACCTTGTTGTGGTGAGGCTYTGAGAGCCTCAGCTCCTCCCAGCCTGGAGGAACACAGAGCACACAGACAATAACCCCTCACAGTGGTTATGCAAGTGTTGAGGCACTGGCAAAGGTGAGAGAGCTCTTCGTGGAAGTTTGGCTTCCCCAAACCCCTGTAAATCACCCCTGCACAGTGAGAACCTGAAGGAGACCTTCTAGCACAGCTTCAGGGTTCTCAGCACAGAGAACGTTCAAGTCACGCAGACAATCCAGTGAACTGATCAAAGGGCCTGATTTACCACCTGCCTTCAACTGGCTTCCCTGTAACAAACTGATCTCCCTGGCTTTGGGACAGTGAGAGCCGCAGTTCAACCCTTCGGTGTACAGTCAGGGGCACACAGAGCAGCAAGACCTGCAAGGCTCAAACTCCTGGTAGTGCCTCTCATCCTCCAAACCCAGGTARGTCCAGGCAGTGGGCAGCAAAGCAGAGCAAGGTTCCTCCCACTTTCCCTTTCACAAACTGTCTCTTCTAGTTCCAAACCAGCTGTAAAAGAAACCTTTTGTGTGTACCCTTTGTGTGTCACACAGGGGACTCGTCCACATGTGCCTCAGAAGGTGCTGGGACCCCAGACAGAAAATCAGGGGCTGTACCAGGCCCTCAGCCGATGGCTGAACCCATGGCAGAGGGGCAGAGGGCACCTCCTGCTTCTCTGAGGGGTTATCCCACAGCTGGAATTCTGGGACAGAGCTGGGGGGAGCTGGGCACTGAGGGTCCCACCCAAACCAGCAGCAGCAGGAGGCAGAGGGTGATGGACCCCCAGCTCGGGGCTCAGCAAAGCAGGGCAGCCCATTCTGGAGAAATAACGCTATAAAGGCTGATTTGTATTCCAGAGCAACATCTGGATGCTCAGCCCTGTTTCAGTGCCTCCTCCCAGCCCCTGCTCTGCTCCCAGTTAAGGTTCCTGGATGCTCTCATAAATAGGGATCAATTCAAACCACAGAGAACCCTGGGACAGAGCTGGAAGGGGTGAGATGCAGAGCTGAGGAACCCCCACAATACATTTGAGACAGGGTAACATTGATCTGTTCTTCTACTCTCCTTCACCAGTGCTTCCCCTCTGCTGTATTTATGGGCCCTGTCCAGCTGTGCTTTTCCAGGTAAGTCCTGCCCTTCCAGCCCCCAGCTTTTCCCTCCCCCAGACATTTTGCCAACCCTTTTATGCTTCCAGATCCTTTGCCTTCATTTTTCTGGAACGCAGATGACCAGAATTGCAAATACTATTCCCAAAGGGACCTTCCCAGAGATTTGTGAGACAGCCTGAAATATTTATTCCAGTGTCACAGAAATCTCCCAGTAATACCTCACATGTCCCCCTTTCCCCACGGCCACCCGTGGCTCACTGAGATCCTGCATTCAGCTTATCTCAGTAAATGCAGCAGAGTACRTTCTCTTTGGCTCGAAAATCAGTTTTCTTGTCAAAAAATGAATCGGGTTGGCCTGACACTTGTTCCTTTTGTTAATGCCATTGGGTATTTTAGTCCCTTTCCCGCTGATGAGGAACCAGGAACAGAGCTATTACGCAGGAGCTGTGTTCTGCTGCTTCTGCTTCAGCTGACAGAGCCTCTGCTGTCACTTCACACACAGGCAGTTCTGGGCACAAACTGCCACAGAAACGTCACTGAGCCCCAACTTCAGAGGGACTGTGCTTYAAACCCTCCCAGCCTACTTTGCAAAAACCCATTGCCGAGCCCGAGGCACAAAATCGCAGCTCTGAGGAGCTTGGCTTGGCTCAGAGGGACACAAAGGGACAGGGGGGTGACACCTCAGCCTTTTTGTGCTTTAGCACAGAGGTCTGGAAGGTGCTGTCAGGGCATGTCAGGAGCTGGGCTGGCTCTGCAAGGTGCTGTTTGATCTCGAGGAGGAAGCCTCTAAGTCCCTGGATCTCACTGTTCAGGTCCTTCCCAGCCCCTGGTCCTCACTGCAGCCCAAGGATGGGATCCACATCCCAGGAACCTGTGAGCAGGGTGGAACACAAACCCAGCTCAGCCTGTACCAAAAGGGCACAGTGGATGGTAGAACTGGAGCTGCAGCCATCCCACGTGCTGAGCCATCCCACACTGAGGGAATGGCAGAGCCTCCAAGGAAAAGCTCCAGTTTWACTGATGTCAAAGACATCTTGCTGCATCCATGGGGCCATCCTGCTCTCCCAGAGGGTTACAGAGACAGAACCTGACATCTGCAGCAACAACAG